CGGTTCAGAACAGGGCTGTGCAGCCAGGCGGACCCAGACTCTGGAGCTGGCCCTGCCTGCAAGGTGTTTGCCTCCGGAGCACCTTGTAAACGGAGCTGCCAACAGCAGCCCAGTTAGCAGGAGAGCTGCAGGGAGGGGCAATACCAGGGAGAGACTGGGCATCCGGGTCCCAAACCCAACACCGCCTTGTTCATTCATGCCTGCAGGAGGCGGGATGCCTTACAGCAGGCTGTGTGCCGTGGGACTCCACGCCAGTCGTGGGGCCTAGCGTGTTTGTGGGACCCTGTCTCGCCAGTTGGTGCCCAACATGCACCAGCAAGACTGGCCGGTGAGCTGCACTCGGGCTGGGTCCGGCAGCGGCCACCAGGAGCAATGACACAGAGGCTGCCAGGCATGGGCCGAGCCAGTCAGACTCCGTTTAATGATTCAAACTCCGTGTGTCTTAGCACAAGAGACCACACACATAGGCACGTGCACACACACGTGGATCCCCCAGGAGTGGACTGCTGCTGCTTCTAAACCTCACGGGAGCTGAAGGAGCCAGAAAGTTCCTTTCACTGGTGGGTCACTCACAGCCATTGTCCTCAACCAGTGACTGACAGCTCCGGGAAGAAAGCAAAGTCTCCGAAGCAAGGCTGATCTTTCTGGGACCGCCCCCACCCCAATTCACACCCTAGCCAGAGAGAAGGCTCCAGAAAGGGGCCTGTAGCAAAGGACGGGGCACAGAGGAGCATAGCCCCGTCTCAGCAAGGAAACCGCTCAGCGACCTCCCTGCTCCTGGGTTGTCTCTAAAGGGCCCATGGTGGCTCCCAGATCAGGCCCTTGCTGGGACCCTGCAGACAGCCACCTCTACCCACTGGGCCAGGGCCTCCAGGGAGGGTCTGAGAGCTGCCTCTCCAGCCCCGGGTTTGGGAGCCCTGAAGGCAGTGCACCGCACACTTCCAACCTGGGAGGCTTTAATGCTGTTACTTGATTGAAGCATTTGCAATCACTCTGGTCATCCCACCTCCATTTCCAAATTGTCTATCAGACACTTCATCCAGGGATCCAAGAGGTAAAGAAACATTTGCACACGAGTGCACGCACACGCACACACACACACACAGGTCCCTTGGGTCTGATGTGCTCAGCGGGTTGCCAGGCACTGGGACTCAGAGCCTGTGCAACCCGGAAGGGAGGCCAACTCCCCAGGTCCAGTCGTGGTGGCTCTCGGCTCACAGTCCGGTGGCCAAGGAGAAGTCAGTGGCTGTCACAGGTGGCGGGCTGCCTCCCAGAGGATCTGCAGTGCCATGGAGGCGCAGGGGAGCTGGGCCAGGGTGTAGGCCAGGGAGCGGGTGGGCGCCGGCAGCTTCCCCAGGTAGGCCACGGTGTGCACCAGCCGGCCCAGGAAGACAATGAGGAAGTGCATCCGGGCGATGAGAGGGTCAGGCCCAAGGAAGGAGTAGACGAGGCCCAGGAAGAGGAAAGGGTAGATGGTCTCCATGTCGTTCCGGTGGGCTCTGCAGAGGCAAGGGAGATGCAGTCAGCTGGGTGGTTGGCTGGGGGGCAAAGGGGCCCTGCCAAGAACGTCCTGGAAGCCCCCAAGGGCTTCATCCTCCAGGATCATTTCAGGGTTGCCAGACATGCAAGTCCATTCCTGGCCAGGTCAAGTGATACCGGGCCCAGAGGATCCCAGAGGACTGCTGGCTTAGGGTTTTCTTTTCCTCTTTAAAAGTTTATTGGAGGGAACCAGCAGTTAGCATAATGGCTATGTCGCTGGACTCCCACATAGTCAACCGTGGTTTGTGTCCCGGACCTGGTGGCTTAAAACTCATGCCGGGCGCGTGTGCGTGCATGCCCAAGATCCCAAGAGGAGAATGGAGGAGAAGGGATTGCGGCATGACCATCCCCTCTGGGGGGTGATTTCTTGCTTTCTGTCTCTCTGTCTCTGTCTGTCTGGCGAGCACACTTGCCCTATAGCAAAAACCTCTCCAAAAAAAAAAAGTTTCTTGGAACCATCAGATGGTGTAATGGTTACATCTCTGGACTTCCACATGAATGACCAGGGTTCGAGTCCTAGACACAGAGGCTTAAAGCTCACGCCAGATATGTGTGCATGCATGCCCGAAATCACAATAGGAGAATGGAGGAGAAGGCATGGCCATCCCCCAGGGGGTGATTTCTCACTTTCTATCTCTCTGTAGAATGCACACACCCTATGCCAGAAATCTCTCTCAGGAAAAACAGTTTATTGGGTGTGGTGGCGACCACTCTATGGGAAAAAAAAAAGCTTGTTCATTCATTTATTTTATTTATTCCCTCAGAGAGACAGACAGACAGACAGACAGATAGACACTCCCATCAGGGTCTCACACCAGGATCCAGCCTGGCCACAGACCACTCAGTACAGGCACCTGTGTGCCCCCACTGAGCTCAGGGGAGTTCCAGGCTACAAACCCAGGATCTTTCCCACGAGGGTCCATGTGCCACCCCCGGCCTTGATTTAGTGTTTTCACCATGGCTATAGCCTGCCAGGCCCTGGCCCCTGCCACCCGCTCCCCTGTGGTCTCCGGCTGGTGGAGACCAGGCAGGGAAAGTGGGGAGAGAAGCTGAGTCTTTGCTGAGCGGTGGTGGGGGCTGGGTCTGTGCCTCACTGGCTGAGCTGTGGGCTTTGCTCTGGGGTAGGGCTTTTCAGCCAGGCCTAAAGCCATCCTCCCTCTCAATGTGGGTTTCCAGGCTCCTCTGCCCCTGTAACGCCCATCCTTTCTCGGACAGTAACGAGATCAGCTCCCACTCACAGCCTGGCAATCGCCAGGCCCTGGCCGAGCCCCCCGCGTCCTTCGTGCCCACCAGCTTCTTCCTTGCTGAAGATAAGCGAGAGTGTGAGCGAGCACGGCAGGTGGGGCCACGTACAACCCTGCCACACAGAGGGAGGAAGGCTACCCAGTCCTGCTAGGAGAACAGTTATTTCCACGGCCCATTCCACGCCACTGTTCCCTCGGCCCTTACTAATGGCCAGCTTTCGAAACAAGAATGGGAACAGGAACAGTGAGTCCCATCGACGGCTGCCGGGACCTGTGGCAGAACGCAAATTCGGGGTGCTGGGGGAAGGGAGGGCTGTGGATTAGAAATAAACATATAATAGACACACAAAGACATACAAGTATAGCAAAGCGAGGAGAAAGCTGCGACCTCAAACCAGCCTTAGGTTTATCCTTTTAAAGGGCAGGAAATGGGGGAAGAGGAAATGGGATGCAAAGCCAATGACTTGGGATGTCAATCGTCTGAAGATGCGAAAATGACTCACGCCATGTAATTTCTCTGATCTTTTTGGGGCGAAATCTGATAAACACATGTGGCTTCCCTTAGCCTGATACTGCTCTGCAAGGTTTCAGTATCGGTATCAACAGGCAGATTGCATAGCTTTTGCATAGCGTTTTCGTATGCAAATACCTTCATAGCCATGCAAATGAAGCTCACTGGCAGGGGCGGGAAGGGCATTTCTGCATGCCTCTAAAGGTCGTCATGTTTGCTCAGACTGGCCGCTGGCCACGTTGGAAGCTTCAAGAAACAGGAACCCAGTGCCTGGGCCACGACCTCCCCAGAGGCCAGCCACACGTGTGCAGCCCGAGGGCTCTGGTGGAACAGAAGCCCCTCCTCTGAGCCTTACAGCTTGCATGTATCCCGCTGACACTGTCACTGGCCACGCCCAGTCCAGCAGTCCCCACACGGTGACCAGAGTCCTCCTCTTCCCTCCCACTGGCAAGATGAGTCTCAGGCAAAGGCCAAGGTGTGGTGGACCGACCTAAAGGGCAGGGAGGGAGCCTGTGGGGATCTCTGCAGCTTGCTGGGGTGGGTGCTTGAGGAAAGAGGCATCTGTGCTGAGGAAGACATCTGTGAAGTGGGCTGAGGAGGCTGGAATCCAGTCCGGGTGTATAAAAACTCATAAACCCAGCAGGGTCTGGACCTTTCTCAGGACAAACTCAGGACATGGCAGCTGTCCTAACATCTTGAGGCTAACAGGTGGCCTCCTTCTCTTTATCCTCAGAATCTTTTGTTTGTTTGTTTGGTTAGTTGTTTTTTGTTTTTGTTTTTGTTTTTTTTGAGAGGTTTTTGCTATAGGGCATGTGCGCTCACTAGAAAGACAGAGAGAGTCAGAGAGACAGAAAGCGAGAAATCACCCCCCAGGGGGGATGGCCACCGGCAATCCCTTCTCCTCCATTCTCCTCTCGGGATCCTGGGCACGCACATACACACGCAGCCGGTGCAAGTTTAAGCCACCAGGTCCGAACTCGAACTGCAATGGACTACATGGGAGTCCAGGGACATAGCCATCACACTAACTGCTGGCCCCTATCCCCAGAATCTTGACCTTGTGACCCAGCAGTGGGGAAAGCTAGCCTGCAGCAGGGTGGGTCTCACCCTGCTGTTGGGGAGAGCGCAGGCCCTGCATGGATCTTGGGTGCCGATCGCAGGGAAGGAGACGCAAGGACTCGAGACTACAACTCCCCGTCCAGGCTTGAGGTGCGAGGCCTCTGGGGGAACAGGAACCCTTGGGAATCATGAAGGAAATGACAAGTGTCCCTCCAAGACCCACCCGGTTCTCGCCCTCCTGGGGAGAGGGACCTTGGGAATCATGAAGGAAATGACAAGTGTCTCTCCAAGACCCACCGGGATCTCGCCCTCCTGGGGAGAGGGGGCTGTGTGTGGGCATCTCCCAAGCACTGACCAGGGTCACCCCGGAAACCCCGTCTAGATGGAGTCAGTGCGCCCGACCGTGCTCTGCCTACCAACGCGACCACAGGTGTGTCCCCTGGGGGTGAATTTGCTGCACATTTCCAGCGGTGCCCTTCCTCGCGGTTTCACATGCACGGTTGTCATTACCGTGTCAACGCCACCCAAAACCAGGTGAGCACAGCGCAGAGAGACGGTTTGTAACTTCCATCAGTCTGCTGCTGTAAGCGTTGTTTTACTGTTAGCTGTAACTGCTCACCTCTGGCTGTGCCTAATTGATCAAATAAACTGTCATCGGTGCAGGAAAAACGGCGTGGATGGGGCTCAGTACCACCTGCGGTTCCAGGGATCCACTGGGGGTCTTGGTATGGGCCCCCCCGTGGATGGGGGGGCTACTGTACATGTATTTGAAGTTTCAGGAAAAACACAACTAGCAGAAGAAACCCACTCATCCTGATATTCTTGCTGAAAAAATGTGTTTACATTGTAAGTGAGTCAGTTTTCAGAGCGGCACTGAGACCCATACACAGACAGAGTGCAAACAACCCAGCCAGAAGAGGGGTGAGGGGACGAGGCTGGAGGCGGAGGGTGGAGGGAGAGAAGGAACAGCCAGGGCAGGTCTGAGGGGTGGGGAGAGGCTGGCCTTGCAGAAATCCGTGCTGCGGGTGCTGAGTCCCACTTCCTGGTTCTACCAGCCAGGCAGCCACTGGGAGGTTGCCCGTGAGGGAGGAGAGGTGGCTGGGAGCAGAGGAAGGCCCAGAGCTCTGACCCTCAGCCCTGGAGCCGGCCCAGCTCTGCCTTCCCCCGCCTGGTCTGTCTCAAACCGCAGTGCCTCATGCCCACCCCCTACATGCAAGCCACAAGTGATGCCAAGGCTGGAGAGCCATGGGGAAATCAAAGGGATGACGCAAGGGACCTCACCTTCCTCCTCCCCCTGCCAGGATCCAGCTGGAGAGACAGGGAGAGAGTCACGTACCAACGAGTCGCTCGGGTGAAATGTGTCATCCCAGTAATAACCACTGGTTTAAGGGAAAAGTCACCCAAAGCAGAACCCTGCCAGCCCAGGCTTGCATGCCTCCTGCAGCGTAAGCCTCCCGGCCCTCGACGTTGCAACACCAGCTAATGCACTTGGCCGTGCCAGGTGGCCGTGGTGGGGAGGGGACACCTGCAGCTATGCCCAGGCAATCAGGCAGGGGCAGTGGCTGGTCACCCCACGGGGCTCTCCTCGGCCCTCCACCAGCCCTGCCGGCCACCCACCTGGGCGATTTCCTTGAGTCCCAGTGAGGCGGGACTGGCTGCCCAGCTGCGGAGGCCGGCACAGGTGAGGGTGGTCCTCTGTGCAGGTGGAGTCAGGCGGGCGTCTGGGCTGGGGGAGGTGACTGTACCCTCCACAGAGTGTTACCAGAGAGCCGGGGGTTGGTGTTGGGGAAGTGCTAGAACACAGCCTGACTTCGAGTAGGTGGCTCCTAAGTAGCTGCCATGGTCTTTATCGTTGTCACAGCTACATCACAGCTTGACGTGAACGCGATGTCACTCTCCTGGTTTTGCCAGACCCCCACCATGCTAGGGGGCATGTGTGCTCACGAGAGAGAGAGAGAGAGAGAGAGAGAGAGAGAGAGTGAGCGCACCCTCAGTAGGGATGGGAGTTGCCACAGTCCCTTATCCTCCCTTCTCCTTTTGTGAGTTTGAGCATGTGCGCGCACACACACGCGTGCACACACACACGCGCACACACGTGCGCACACACACGCGCCTGCTGTTTTCAAGCTCCTAGGTCTGGCACTTG